TACTTTCTTTTCAGAAAATTTCACTTCATTTCTCATGCCTTACTGCATGTCCATATGCATTAAATTATCTGCTCTTGTCATTTAACTTAGCATAGATTTATACATACAAACACACATACTTACATTCATATATATTTATATATAACCATTCACATTTCTTTGTTGCTTATCGCTTTATTCCCAGGTCCGATCCTCTTATTGGAACATCTGCCTTTGTTCAACGTCTAATGGATTATTTTGTTAGCCTTTTTAGCGCTAATCGAAAAAGTTCCAAAGGTGATATCCGCAGCAACGCACGCGCGATGTCTAAATTGTCCATGGAAGCCGAGAGAGTAATGAAGATTCTCAGTGCCAATACGGAGACAATTGCACAGGTCGCTTCTCGTATAATAAACCTTTTTGGTTATTTCGATGTTTGAATATTTTTTGCCCCTATGATAGCGACCTGATCGTTCATAATTGCTTTCAATTGTTGCCTCTTTTAGATAATGTTTCATCAATTTCGTGTTCGTAGCAAAATTTAACCATTACAGTAGGGCCAATATTCTTGAAACGTGTAACCATCATAATATAGCCAACCACCAACCAGATGCCCAGATGGCTTCTTACAGTCTACGACTGTTCGCCACTCAACCTGAAATTGAATTCTTTTACATCTTAAACTTCATTTTTTGCTTTTTATCCAACTCATATAAGCTTCTAACCCGTTTCTTATCCCGCAGATGACTGATCCCATTCGTTTGCTGCCATTACATCTAACACTATCCATAATAGTCTAATGAAAACAGTGAGATAGTGTTTCTAAATAGAATGACACTTGAGATATCATTAGGCTTAAACATTATTGCTTTGGATCCCTGCTGGGTGAGTATGCCATATAAATTTTAGGTAAATAATAAGGTAATGTGATTATACCTCACAAAATTTGCTAAAAATGGCCCATATCTGAAGTAGATAAGCATAAATTGTGATTGATATTAATTTGGGAATAAGGCTTAAGTTGTCTAGGATTTGTAAATGTACTAGGACAGACCTAGATATCACAATCGTTTAGCAGGAAGCAAAGGTTCTTCAGAATATCCGGATCATAAGTCAGAGGCTTCAGTCATCGATAGTTTCTACCACTTAGTATTTGTATATCGAAGGTGTTCTGCAAGTATCTTTCTGTAATTGTATATGTAGAGCAAATCTTGTAAGTAAGTTTATCCGATATTTCAGAACTGATAAGAGCGTATAAATGAGGAGAGGATAGATACAAGACACTGTTGGCTTGTTCCGAGATTATGATTGGGAACTCTTTTGCACAAATTCCATTTTAACACGTTATTTAACATTTTAGCGAAGCTCTACGACCTAACTAATGCTATTTAATTTCCTGGCAAGCCACTCATGTCAATACGCTGAAGATGATGATCGTCTGAGATCAGAACACAATTTGGAGTTGTTATTTTTTGCTGATTTACACATGAATCCGATTTAAGCTTGTCATGTTTACATTATCTAGACTGGCGTTTTTGATGAATTAATTTTTTGTATTAAGGAGAATGTGTAATAGTTTAGAATAGGTTTATAACAACTGAGATCTTAGAAAGACCAAGCGCGCAGCTTAGCGAATTCGAGCTTTTCTAAAGTCTCACCGTTGGTACTTTTTCTCACAGAATTAGTTTTCAGAGGTTTTATTAAACTCTGAGTGGTATTTTAAGGATGTATTTAGTAATCACGTGCATTGCGCTATTCAAATAAACAATTGTAAGTAATTGCTAATTGGCTCTTGCCCATAAATGGAGCAAATATTAACTCAATTTTACCTTAAATAAGACTATTTGTGTCATTCAGACTTTGCAGGTGATCGAAATTTGTATCCGAATTATCGCTTCTTAGGCTTAGCAAATCCGTCCTTATTCAATTCGGAATTTTTTTCCTACGAATCTGAACAAATCCAGCTTTAATTTCAATGACCTCATATGGCTTATATTTAGCATTAAGGCATTATGGAGTTGCACTCATTGTGAATATTCCTGTATCGTAAGTAAATTAATTTGAGCTGCAAATTATATGGCTAAATTTGTCACATTAGTCTCAAGGTCCTGCTTACTGTTCTTCTATGCGGGTATATTTATTTATTGATTAAGCATATTTAAACCTTTCTATGTTCTTTTTCCTGCTACCAAAGGTGGAATCACTTTTTGAAAATGAGGATTTTAAAGCGAAAATTACTCGAACTGATTTTGAAACGATTTGTCATGAACTCTTTGAGAGAATTTCAGTACCTATTTTTTCGGCACTTGAAGCAGCGCAGCTACCGTTGCCTGCTATTAAAGAAGTAATCCTAATGGGGGGAGGAAGTCGTATACCAAAAGTTCAAGATATCCTCATGAAAATTACCGGAAAGTGAGTCCTTTCCATTACCTCGCTTAGATTAAATTTTATTGCATTGCGATTACATTGTTCATATTTCTTGTCTATTTTGTAGCATTTATTCTTGTTCTCTAAAACGTCCCACTTATCCTTTATATACGATGACAAATTGAGGACGAGTTTAATTTCCATCCCCCAAGAAATTGTCTTAAATTCCATCTTAGTTTATGCTTCTGTATAACGCAGACTAGTAAATTTGATGACATTACCTGGTTTTCTTGAAACCTTTTGAACTTTTAGATCTAATTAATAAACCTCTTAAATTTTGCTTAAAAATGCCTTACCTTTCTTATTTCTATAGATTCTGGACATTGGTACATTATTTTTACGCGAATATGTTAATTTTTACTTTCTTATTTCTACCTCATCTGAGAATTCTTTATTAACTAACTCACTCTATCATTCCTTCTAAATCCTCAGAACCGAGCTAGGCAAAGGCATTAACACAGACGAGGCAGCTGCTTTAGGCGCTGTTTATCAAGCTGCCTATCACAGCCCCGGATTTCGCGTTATGCGGTTCATCGTAAAGGATGCTAGCCCCTATGCCATCGCTGTAGGTTTTTAACTTCTCGTCTTTTATTTCTTTTTTTGTCCTTATTTTAGTTCACCTATGTATATTCCTCTTTATAAACTTTATACATCTGAGAGCACTACTTAGATGCTTGGTTTTAATTTGCTACCTTAGTATGATCGTCGGCAAATATTATCTTAATCGCCTGCATTAGTTTCCATGATGAAATCAAATTGTAGCCTTACAGAATACACTTAGCGACAGAGGCTTGGTTATAACTCCTATGTATTGGCTCTATCTATCTGACAGAGGGCATTCAATTATAAGACCAAATATATTGCTCCTGCTTTTATTTTTCATATATATAAACTTTCAGAATAATTTGCAATTAAATATCATCGAGTTTAAGCTTTATGGGTAAACTGTTCGAAAAACATTATCAAAAACATACAGGAATGTACCAAGACAAGAGTACATAGTATGCATGATAATTTTTAGAGTCGGATCGTGGACTTAGTACATTCCAAGACGTTCCGGCGGCATTGTAGTCGGCATCGTCAGTTAGCCTTGCCAGTCTAAATGGGCTCAATCTAGACGCCTCTTCTTGGCTTCCGATTGTTCTTTTCTGGTATCGTTGCGATTTCTTTTCCTAAAATTAAAGATTTTACCTTGATACAGTCGTCTTCTTTTTTCTGATCATACTGTTGCATGATCTTATCCGAGTTTGCTTAAGCAATATGCAAAGATTTCGCTGATTCTGCCTCCTTCAAATATCCTGTTCATTAGATTTCTTATAGTCAGGGTATCGATGGCCTCTCAGATCTTGCGTTTTCTCGTATTTTTACCAAATGTAGTCAGCCTTTCTATCGATCTCCAGTCGATTTAGAGTCCATTCCGTGCAACGTGTTCCGCTATTTCGGATCTTTCTGTATCCATGTTCCTCAGAGTCTTTGATGTTCCCTGATTCATAGGCCGATTTTTCTTCCTGTTTCACCAATATACTTCCGTTCACAGTTGCCGCATTTGATGCGATAAGATCCCAAGTAATTCAGTCTGTTAATTTCCTCGTGTTGCGTCGGAAGACTGCAACTGAAAAACGTCTTTTCCTTTGTTATCACCTTGATATGCCCTTTCCTTAGTAGCGGTCGCAATTTTGGCTCGGTTCACATGAAGACAAGCATATCCACTTTTGATCGTCTTCCTTATTCTTGATCAGATTTTCATAAAATCCGAGCTGGAATCTGCTCTTTATAGCCTCAACATTTTTAAAGTATAAATTATGTGGGATTTTCATTGTTAATGCAAATCTGAGCCAGTTTGTATAACTCCTCGTCCCATAACTGAGTGTCTGTTAGTTGTAAGCTTCTGATGGTCAAACTCCCCAGTATTCCGATCTTCATCTATAGTTATAGTGGGACTGAAAATTAAGGATTATTACAGTGTATGAATCGTTTTTGTATAGTCTCTTCACGAGTGTCCCATTTGAGGTAAAATGGCAGGATTTACTCACTACTGAGTTGATTGTCCGGTTGTTATCGTTGCAGTCAACCGATGCAACACGAGGAGATTGACAAACTGAATTGCTTGGGAGCTTATCGCATCAAATGCTGCAACTGTGAGCAGAAGTATATTAATGAAACAGGAAAAAAAATCGGCCTACGAATCAAGGAACATCAAAGACTCTGCAGAAACTTGGGTACGGAAAGATTCGAAATAGCGGAACACGTTGCAAGGAATGGACACTAAATCGACTGGAGATCGATAGAAAGGCTGACTACATTTGGTGAAAATACGAGAAAACGCAAGATCTGAGAGGCCATCTATAACCTGACTATAAAAAATCTAATAAACTGATATTTGAAGAAGGTAGAGTCAGCGAAATCTTTGCATATTGCTTAAGCAAACTCGGAGAAGATCAGGCAACAGTAAGATCAGAAAAAAGAAGACGACTGTATCAAGGTAAAATCTTTCATTTTAGGAAAAGAAATCGCAACGATACCAGAAAAGAACAATCGGAATCCAAGAAGAGGCGTCTACATTGAGCCCAATCATACTAATTAGAACCACAACATTTGTGGGTTGGCACACAAGAGACTGAGCATAGAAAGTCATAGACTTGGCATTATGGCTAAAAGCACGATAGATGCGGCGGAGACTAGAGCTGGTTGGCTAATAGTAGATGTGTTCCATGAAGTAAAGGCTTGAAAATGAGAATAACTTGGAATCTATAGCTTCAAATTATTCTCTCTTCTAACTTAAGAATCCAAAATTTTTTGTGCTACTCGGTGAGGCGAAAGTATACGTGCCATCAAGGGCTTAGAGTGGAATGTGGGAAATGGCGTCTCGAGTATTACGGATAGGATGGCAGGTGTAAAGTGGAATACCTGAACCATGGAGATAGGAGCGGATTTTACGGAGCATGAAGGAGAATCTGATAGGACTTGTGGGAAGAGGATTGCTGAGTAATATGGCACATTCAGATCAACGTTCCCAGCACAATTGTAGGAGGGTGGGGCGAGAAAGCCAGCTTGGGATGTGAGGAGATCTCATGAAATCCGCTCAAAGGGCACACCATACCACATTTAAATAAGCAATTAAGAAATTGTGATAATGGAGGGTCGGTACGAGGATATAGGATATGTGAATAGTCCATGACAGAAGTAGAGACACCACAACTGTTTAGCAGACAAAAGATGGATTTCGCTTGTCTCTGACGAGTTGTAGTGTGGTGCTAAGACTTGCAAGGCTCACTGACGATGTCAACTACAATGCCGACGGAACGTCTTGGAATGTACTAAGTCCACGATCCGACTCTACAAATTATCATGCGTACTATGGACTCCTGACTACGTGCGTTCCTTTAAGTCTTCCTAACAATGCGACCAAATTTATAAAACTAGGCTAAACAACCAATATTTGTTGGGATTACTTCCATTTCGAGTAGAAGTGTTGGGTGAAGAGATTCGAAGGTCGGTTCCACC